GACCAGATTTTCCTGCTGGTTATGGAGCGGTTAGGATATGAGCCCAAAGCCTCCTGTAGCCATGTCTCCTGCCTTGTGAAGAAGCCAGTCTGACACACAAAAAAGGAAATGGAGGTGAGAGGTTTGGGGTTGTATTGATGGGATCCATATCTTTGTTCTTGTTCACAAGCCTGACTCCACCCTTATCTTTCTTAGGTTGGTTATAAGTGCCAACCAACTTCCCCTTTTGCTTAAGCTAGTTGAAAATAAGTTTCTGTCATATGCAGCAAAAAAGACCTTACCTATTTGGCTCCAGCTCTATAGATCTAAGTGCCTCCTAGGTAACTCCCTCTGTATGTTCCGTGGTACTTCAAACTCATCTGTAGTACAATGCATCTTTCCTTCCTTAACCCATTCTACCTCCTCTATTTCCTATTTTCTCATCTTGATTATCAGGTCAACATCTACCCAACTGCCCAAGCCAGAAATCTAGATCCCTACTAGACTTCTCCTTTTCTACTTGACCCCCCTCCCTCAAGATCTAGTAGTTTCTAAGTGCTATTCCTTTTCTTAAATACTTATATCTGCTACCCTGCCTTCTACTACCTTTGAGACCCCTTCTGCTGTTTTTTCTTCTCTCACTGTACTGAAAAGGCCAATCTCAGAATCCTTACCCTGTCCGCTGCTGAATGGGGTTCCTTCTTGTCCCAGATGATTGGTCTAGTAGTTACATAAAGGCTGGTCAGTAATATAAAAGACAGGATGACAGGACTTAAACAGGGATACTGAAGGTTAATTACACCGAGCAGGTTCTCCTCTATGAGGAAATCTGAATCTGAGACACAGAGAGGTCTACTCAGTTGTTCCAAAACAGAAGCTGAAGGTATACAGAGAGCAGGCAGAGGTGATGACAAGGAGAATGTAAATTCTTGAGTAAATAGAAAACGTGTTTAAGCAGGAGCTGTGAGTAATCCAAAACTACTAGGTATACTGAACGGAGGGGAAAGTAATTGGCTGATATGATAGAAACAAGGAGGAATGAAACCACAATGGTTGGTGACAAACTCTTGCTGTTGGGAAGACAACAAAATAATACTAGAACTGCTTTGGACTATGATTAACTTTCTAATTCCTAAATTATGCATACTCCAGCCTGTGTGAAGCATGGCTGGATGACAATACTTTGGTTCCTGTGAAATTTCTATGTTCCCTTGATTCTTTTTGTCTCTAAGACCTCAACCCACAAACATTGTACTCTAGATATATAAATTAGTTCTCCAGTGATGTTATGCTCTGCCATATCTCTGTTTATGTGCATACACTGTTTCCTCCAACTGGAGCAACTATTCTCATCTCCCAAACATCTCTTAACTTTACCTGGATACCGCTTACTCAGGCTCCTCCAACCTTTTCTTTCTTTTTAATTTTTAAAGTCTGTTTGTTTATTCATTTATTTAGGGATGGGCAGGGAGGGGCAGAAAGAGAGGGAGACAGAGAGAATCCCAAGCAGTCTCCACACTGTCAGCGCACAGCCCAATGTGGGGCTCAAATATATGACCTGAGCTGAAACCTAGTTGGCTCAACCAACTGAGCCAACCAGATGTCCCATCTTCTAAGCTTTCTATAACCCAACCAAATTTGATGGTACTGCATATTGTAACTAAGTATCTCCACAACTAGAATATAAGCTTGAGAGCAGAGGTGCTGTCTTGTTCCCCTTTGTGTCCCCAGTGCCTGATCCAGTACCCAGCACAAAGCAGATACTTCATGAATGCCATTGATTTTGTTAAAGGTCAGTTGCTTAGACTCTTTGAAAAATCAGGAAGTTGAAGGGCCTTCCATTATCACCCCTTCTCCAATAGACCACTTGCAGTTGTGCCATGGTACTTTAAAGACAATAATTACATAGTTTTGTGCAGATTTCTTCAGTTCAGAATGCCCTTCTCATCCCTGTCTCCTACCTCCCTCCAAGTTCAGAAGCAGGGAGAGCAGAGTTAGGGCTATCACAGTTGTCTGGGCAAAAGAGGATGATGGCCTGGGCTAAGGAGTACTGGTGGAGTAAGAGGTAGAGACAAATTCCAGAGCTGGGACAGTCAGTATGTACTTGATGAAGAACTGGATATGAGGTGAGGGATGGGGGCATATAAAAAATAACTACTGGGTTTTCTGGTTTGATCAACTAGTGTTTTATTTAAAGAGACAGGAAAGATGGGGCGCTTGGGTGGCTCAGTCAGTTGAGTGTCCGACTTTGGCTCAGGTCATGATCTCAGAGTTCGTGGGTTCGAGCCCCGCCTCAGGCCGTGTGCTGAACGCTTGCTCAGAACCTAGAGTCTGCTTCACATTGTGTCTCCTTCTCCCTCTGCCGCCCCGNTCCTTCTCCCTCCCCCCCCCCCCCCCCCCCCCCCCCCCCCGCTTATACTTTGTCTCTGTCACCATTCTAATTTCTGTCTCTATGAATTGGACTACTCTAGGTATCTCAAATAAGTGGCATCGTATAGTATTTGTCCCCTTGTACTCGCTTATATCACTTAGAATAATGTCTTCAAGTTTCATCCAAATTTTAGCATGTGTCAGAATCTCCTTCCTTTTTAAGGCTGAATCAGTCCATTGTCTGATACACCTTTTAGTTATCCACTCATCCTTCAGCAGACACTTGGGTTGCTTCCACCTTTGCCTATTTTGAATAACACTGCCTTTATGAACCTGGGTGTGCAAATATCTGTCTTTGTTTTCAGTTCTTTTGGGTATATACCAGATGTGGACTGTATGGTAATTCTATGTTTAATTTTTGAGGAGCCACCATGTTTTCCATAGCAGCTGCACCATTTTACATTTCACCAGTGATGCCCGAGGGCTCCAAGTTCTCTACATCCTCCCCAATACTTTTATTATTTTTTGATAATAGCCATCCTAATAGGCATGAAGTGGTATCTCATTGTGGTTTTAATTTGCATTTCTGCAGTGATTGGTGATGTTCAGCATATTTTCATGTGCTTATTAGCCATTTGTATATCTTCTTTGGAGAAATGTCTCTTTAAGTCCTTTGACCATTTTTGAATGGAGTTGTTTATTTCTGTTGAGTCCAGTTACTTTGTAATATGAAATGGTTTCAGTGTCACAACAGGTCTCTAAGGCATGAGAATAAGTGTTTAAAATAGTATGAACATGCTGGGGACCTTGGGAAAAAGAGCAGAAAGAGGTGAGGATATCAAAGAAAGCCTAAAAAATTTTTTGTAAAGTCTTACCTTTAGGAAGGAATTTAAAGAGGGACATTTCTCAGGATTCTGAGCTTATTTTAGTATTGTAGTTTGGCAAGCAACCTTTTGGGTTAAATAAGCACTGGAGGGCTAACCTGAGAACCTAACCCCTCTTCAAGAACATTACTTGTATGAAAAATGCTGTCTTATAAATCCTTTAATTAATTAAAAAAAAAAACCTTCTGGTATATAATTCATATATATCCTGATGACTACATACTAAAAACTAAACTTGAAAAGTATGTTGGTTGTAGTAATGGATTACAGAAATTATTATATAATGCTTTTAATTGGGAATTTGATATTTTTCAATTACCATAAGTTGATATGCATAAATCATTGTGGGATACATTATAAGAAACATACAGGATACAGGGCTATCGAAATAAAACAAAATCATAACTGATAGAAACATGAAAAGAAAGCTATTATCTACAGACGTAAAGAAGGGTTACATAGAAATCTGTGCTGTTAACTGGAGCAGCTGAAGAAAATAGTATTATTGGCCATTTGTAATAGATAACTACTCTCCAAGAGTAATACTCAGTTTAAATTACGTAAATTCTATTATTTTTAAGATAACCATTTTATTGGGGCGCCTGGGTGGCTTAGTCGGTTAAGCGTCTGACTTTCGCTTAGGTCATGATCTCGCGGTTCGTGGGTTCGAGCCCCACATCGGGCTCTGTGCTGACTGCCAGCTCAGAGCCTGGAGCTTGTTTCAGTCTGACTCCCTCTCTCTCTGACCCTCCCCTGCTCACGCTGTCTCTCTCTCTCTCCTAGAAATAAATAAAACATTTAAAAAAAATTTTTAAAAAAAGATAACCATTTTATTGAATCTGTTGAACATGGGTACATTATTGGATTCTGAATTTTTGGTAAAATGTTATAAGACTCAGGTTAGATAAATGGGATGTCTTTCATTTGTTTACATATTGTCTAATTTCTTTCAAAAATATTTTGTCATTTTCAGAACATGTCTTCCTATTTTGTTAAATTTATTTCTAAGCATTGTATTCTTTTTGATGTTATTGTATGTAAAATTTCTTAACTTTGATTTGGATTATTCATTGTTAGCATTTAGAAATACAATTGATTTTTTTATATTGATCTTATATCCTGCATCCTTGTTGAACTCATTTATCAGTTCGAATAGTTATTGTGTAGATGTGCACTCCTTAGGAGTTTCTATATATAAGATCATGCTTTTACTTCCTTTCCTATCTAGGTTCATTCCCCTTCACCTAGTTTTCTTGTGTACTTACCCTTGCTATAACCTGCAGTTCAATGCTGAAGATAATTGGTGAAAACAGACATCTGGTCTTATTCTTGATCTTAATGGTAAAATGTATCCTACCTGTAAAGTATGATATTAGAGAGGGTGTTCTGTAGATACCATTTATTAGTTTGGGGGGAGTTCCCTTTTATTCAATTTTTTAAATGTATATTTTTATCATGAGAGTATGTTGGATTCTGTCACTTTTTTGTATTTATTGTGATTTTCTTATAGTTTTAGTACTTTATTCCATTAATATAGTACATTACATTGATTTTGGATAAGAAAACACCCCTGTATTCCTTGGTGTTTCATTTTTAGTCATGGTGTTTAACTCTATTTTTATGTGTTGTGAGTTTCAGTTTGATACTATTTTGTTGAAGACTTAAAAAAATTTTTGTTCTAGTATAGTTAACATACAGTCTTATATTAATTTCATGTGTACAATATACTGATTCAACAATTCCATATTAAAAAAAAAAAGAATCAGGTTAGATAAGTAATGTACACATGTGAAATGTAATATTTATTTTAGAAGAAAATGTGACAATATTTTATAGTATATATAGGGTTATTTTCAATGTTCTATACTCTATCTTCCCTGTAAATAATGAATAGTGAAGAAAATCACATCATTCTCTAAAAACAAACCAACATAAGCTTTCCTTAATCTGAAACTAAATATGAGTTTTCCATTTCTTGACCGGATCCGTGTTGCTAACTGTGGAAAGAAAATGAGAGAGTAAAAATTTAACAACAGATAAGCAAATTTAATGGATTGAAAGTTATTTTGTGGCTAGTAAAAGTATTCATTCCTAAAATAATTTTGTTGCTCAATATAAAGTGGGTATTTTTTTTTTTTGTACATATAAAAGCATTGTTGAAGCATCTATACAAAATTCAAGTTTTAAGCTTCTTGATGTTAAGGATTAAACTTCTAGGAAGATTACTAATTTGATGACTTAACCTAAAACTAGTAAACACAGAATTACGGCTTTAACACCTTTGTGTTAGTACCTTTACTACTGCTAAAACATTTGGCTGTTCCCAAACCTTCTGCATGTGAGATTCTTCGTGGTCTTGTGGCTGGGACAGGAGAAGCTATGTTCCCGTTACATGCCTTTCATTATAGTCCCGGAGGGTAAGAACTGCAGCCCCTCGGCAACATTCTGATTCCTGTGGGAGCTTTGAGTTCTGACTTGTGGTCCACTGGCCTTTCACTACTAACCCTTCTAGTGCCTGTTTTCTCCGTCTTACAGCGATATTCAGGGAAGGACTTTATTGGATGTTATTTTTCCTAAAAGGAAACTGGTTTGTTTGTAAGAAGATATTTGAGATGCCGGTAATAAAAGATTTGCAATTTGGAAGTATACTTACATATTTTCCCTTCTTTTTCTAATTTTTTCAAATGAAGCAAGATGTTACTTTCAGCCATTTTGTGTAAATGCTCAGGAATAGTCTGAAAGCAAGACAAGAGTGAAAGAGAACATTTCCTTTTTAAAAAAGAATGAGTTAATCATTTTGAAACTATTAAAGAAAAAGTGCAATGAAAGAAAAATTTTTAACTTAAATACATTTTTATAGAGGAATAATCAAAATGATTTCACCTTGAGTGTTATGTGGAAACTAATTTGACAATAAACTGTTAAAAATAAATAAATAAATAAATAAAAATCAAGGGAATGATTAAAAAAAATTAAAAAAAATGATTTCACCTTGCACATGTCTTCCTTTAGGCCACCATATTTCTATCTATATACCTGTAGATAAAATAGACTGAACGGTCTAGAAAGACAGTTAACAGTGTCGGTTCTGTTCATCACTGAATACCCAGTGCTTAGCATAATGGTACATAGTAGGAACTCCACATTTTATAAATGAATAAATAAATAACTGTAAAAATTCTTCTAGATAGTTTTGATGATGCTACAGACCCTTTGGCCCTATGGTTTATTTCTTAGGTTACATGATAGTATCTTTGTACGATTCCATTGGTTATCCTACCTCTCTCATCATTTAGTTTTCATCCTGGAAACTTCCTTAGACTTCTCTTAAACATTCATTAAAAAAAAGTTTATTTAATTTTGAGAGAGAGAGAGAGAGAGAGAGAGAGAGACAGAGTGGGTGAGGGGCAGGGAGAGAGGGTACAGAGGATCCAAAGTGGGCTCTGCATCGATCTCATGAACTGTGAGATCATAACCTGAAGTCAGATGCTCAACTGACTGAGCCACCCAGGCGTCCCTAAGCATTCATATCTATAATGAGTTGTATTGTTGACTCACATCTTACACAACCAACTTGGCAGAGCAATATCAGACATCAATGTTCCCAAATATAAACTTCTAACCCCCAACCCTCCCTTAAGCTCCATATACCGTATCCACCATTGTGATCTTCTAATTTTTTAAAATGTTTGTTTATTTTTAGAGAGACAAAGTCAGAGACAGAGTGTGAGTGCAGGAGGGGCAGAAAGAGAGGGAGACAGAGACTCCTAAGCAGGCTCCAGGCTCTGTGCTGACAGCTCAAACCCATGTCCAGGGGGCTCAAACCCATGAACTACGAGATCATGACCTGAGCTAAAGTAGGATGCCCAACCAACTGATCCACCCAGGTGCCCCCACCACTGTGATCTTTTAGATCTGATTATGTGACTTTTCTTCCAAAATCCTTGAGTGGCTATGCCCAGGTTATTGGCTAAAGCCCAACTTTTTTAGCATGGTGGTCAATCCATGATCTGATCATGCTTGCCTTTCCTGCCTCATTCCCTGGGATTCCTTTCCTGCCCATCCCTATATGCATTGTGTGCTCCAGTCATAGGCAGTTTCTTTGTGGGTTTTCAGATGTACACAATGGTCTTTTATTACTCCCAGGGCAGGTCTTTCCTTCTTGCCTAGGATGGCTTCTTTTCTCCTGTACTCTGGCTTGGGAAATGCTTACTCTTTCTTCAAGACTCAATTAAATGATTAAAGCTTTTCCAGACAAGATTTAATACCCTGCATCTTCCATCACCTGCAATTTATTCCTTTCTTTAATGCTCTGACATCCTGTGTAGAGGTCTTAGAGGAAGACTGGGGTGATAGAAAAAGCAAGATATGAGTAGTATCTGACATCTCACTTTTGTGTATGTGACATCTGCTAGTGTTGTACCTTTGGAAGTTACTTAACTCAACTTTCTGAGTCAGTTTTTAAAAAAAAATTTTTTTAACTTTTTTTAAATGTTTTATTTATTTCTGAGAGAGAGAGAGAGAGACAGTGTGAGCAGGGGAGGGTCAGAGAGAGAGGGAGACACAGAATCCAAAACAGCCTCCAGGCTCTGAGCTAGCTGTCAGCACAGAGCCCAACGCAGGGCTCAAACCCACAAACCGTGAGATCATGACCGGAGCTGAAGTCAGACGCTTAACCAACTGAGCAACCAAGGCGCCCCTAAAACATTTTTAAACATTTATTTCTTTTTGAGAGTCAGAGAGAGACAGAGCATGAGTGGGGGAGGGGCAGAGAGGGAAGGAGACACAGAATCCCAAGCAGGCTCCAGGCTCTGAGCACACTGTCAGCACAGAGCCCGACACACGGCTCGAACCCACGAACGATGAGATCATGACCTGAGCCGAAGTTGGATGATTAGCTGCCTGAGCCACCCAGGCGCCTCAGTTTGTTTTTTAAAGACTATTAAATTGGAATGATAATATCTTCATGTACTGAGAATTCAAGATATATGAATTAAGGACATCAAATTACATTTGTAAGTATAAATCAAGAAGTACAGCACCTGGCACATAATAAAGTGCTCAAAAATGATAGAGTCAGTATTATTGCTATCCATTGAACAAGTCTGTCTTCACTAAACTATGAGTGCTTTGAGGGCATGGATCTCTACTCATCTGTGTAACTCCTTGTGTGGCACAGGAAAGGAATCTAGTAAATGTCGCATGAATGTCTCTGTATACTACCTGACAGTATTCTATATGCAACAGGTACTTGACACATATATATAGTGAGTACACCTCTGAATGCAGAGCCACCATTTTTTTAGGTATGGGCAACTGCTGAGTGACTCATCTGGGAGGGTTATAAGAGTTCTGCTGTCTACACTTAAGTCAGGAGAAAAAAACCCCATGTACCAATGTATGGTCTAGAGTGGCTATCCTCTAGTATTATGAGGAAATGAACTCCTTCACAGAATTTAAGTATTTATATTACCAGGGCTCCTGGCTGGCTCAGGCGGTTAAGCATCTGACTCCTGATTTCAGTTTAGGTCATGATCTCACGGCCGTGGGATCGAGCCCTGAGTGGGGCTCCGCATGTGGAGCCTGCTTAGGATTCTTTCTCTCCCTCTTCCTTTGCCCCTCCCCTACTCGTGCATAAGCGTTCTCTCTCTCTCAAAAAAAAAAAAAAAAAAAAAAAAGAAATTTATATTATTGCTTTGCCAATGGCACTTTTTATCTTTAGCCATTTTAATCACTCATCCCTCCCTTTAAAAACAAAGCCAGGGGGGGGGGGGGGGGGGGGGGGGGGTGTTTAACCCATATAATCTTATTCCAAAGCCTACACTCTTAATCTCTATACTGTCCATACAGTAGATATCTAATAAACATTTGCTGAGAAACTGAATTATAATAATCAATTGCCACATAGTGCTGTTATATATGATATGCTCAGAGGCTACTGATGTGAGAGTTTTTCTCTCTATATACTAAGTTATTTACATATTATGTAAATAACTTCTTCCTTGTTAGGCATCGCTACCACTTCTCCCTGGCATCATCTCAGTATGTCTCTAGCAGATCACCCTTCTCAATCGCTATGGCCTAGGACACCAATAATCAAGATGGTCACCATAAAACATAAATCACTAGAGGCTGTTGGTAATGGTCTCTCCTACAGAATGAAGTATGTAAGGTTTAATGATAGTTTGGAATGTTTTTTTTGGTTTCCCAAGTCCATTTTTGTTTGTTTAACTTCTGTGTTCTAGAAAGTTGAGATTGCTGATCTCAAATTTATATAAGCAGCACTACTTATAAAATAAACAGACTTATTCTGTTTTGGGATGTGATAAGTCTACCATATCTGTTTTATTACATAGATTCTTCTTCTTCTTTTTTAAATGTATTTATTTATTTTTGAGAGAGAGAAAGTGAGAGCAGAGAGGGAGAGAGGGAGACAGAGAATCCCAAGCAGACCCCACTCTGTCAGCTCAGAGCCTGATGTGGGGTTTGAACTCACAAACTGTGAGATCATGACCTGAGCCAAAATTAAGAATATGATGCTTAACCATCTGAGCCACCCAGGTGCCCCTGCATAGATTATTCTAATAAAACTGTTGCTATGTACAAATAAGATAAATGAAAATTACCTGGTAAATGCTTTTTACAACCTCCATTGCTGTAAATGATTTTTCAAAATTATCACGAAGTAATGTAAGAATCTGCTGTTCTCGGGTATTTCTGTGAGAAATGTATTCTAGAATTTTAGCTTCAGGATTATGGATTACTGGGCCATGTCCTGAATTAGAATTATAAAAATTATTTCAATAAGAAACATTAAGTACAACTGAAGTTAATTCATAACATTTAAAAGTAATTCATATGATGTATTGGAAAAGCATACTAAGTACTCCAAATACGAATTGTTTAGAAAATGATACAGATATAAGAGATTCAAAAATTACATACAATGCCAAAACCCAGAGAATTATATCAGATAAAATCTGTATGAAATGTTATCATATACATGAAAAATAAAAACTTAACAACAAAAATAGTCATCACATGAGTAAGGATAGGTAATATTTATAGTGTGCTCATCTTTTTTTTTTTTTAATTTTAATTTTTAATTTTTTAAATGTTTTATTTATTTTTAGGAGAGATAGAGAGAGACAGCGTGAGCAGGGGAGGGTCAGAGAGAGAGGGAGTCACAGACTGAAACAGGCTCCAGGCTCTGAGCTGGCAGGCAGCACAGAGACCGACGCGGGGCTCGAACCCACGAACAGTGAGATCATGACCTAAGCAAAAGTCGGACGCTTAACCGACTAAGCCACCCAGGTGCCCCTATAGTGTGCTCATTATTTGCCCGGTACTGCTCTAAATGCATAATATATATTATTCTTATAAGAGTCCAATGAGGTAGGCACTATTATTATACCTTCTTTATAACAGAAGCTGAAGTATAAAGAGGGTAAGTAATTCGCCCACAGTTAAACAGTGAGGGAGGGATGGTGCTGGGGTTCTGACTTGCGAGCTTTCAATTAGTCTGTGCTCTTAACCACCATGCAACACTTATAAAAGATTGAAAAGAGGAATGTAAAAAAGTAGCTTCATGTAAGTGACCAAGATCTATTAAAAATTCACAAGAACCACAGTAAAACTTTAAGAATCTTATGTATAGGCTAGTAATTCAGAAATGCTGACAAGCCAGATTAAGTTATAGTAAAAGTTTCTTTTAAGTTTTTAAAGGTGTTTTTGTTTTTTTTTTAACGTTTATTTATTTTGAGAAAAGGAGAGCATGAGTAGGGGGAAGGCAGAATCCAAGCAGGCTCCGTGCATGCTATAGTCGTGGAGCTTGACGAAGGGCTCGAACTGAGCCAAAACCAACAATCAGACGCTTACCTGCCTGAGCCACCCATGTGTTCCTAAGTGATATTAAAATTTAGTTGCTCTTTAAGATAGTGCAAATTATATATGGCCCAAGTCTTCAAGAGGGATGTTTAACCTATTTGAGAACAAATTCAGAAGCAGACTAGTCTGTTATCATGTAAAGAGCATGGGCTTTGGTTGGAATATTGACTATCACTCACTAGTTGTGTGGCCATCAAAGCCTGAATCCCTGAGCCTGTTTCTTCAGCTGTGCAGTGAAGATACCACTACCTGCTTCACTGGGTTTTTGTGGGGACGACACTGTAAAGGTCCCTGCACAGTACCTGAGAGGTAGCAGGCTTTAATATATGGTAGCTATGGTTACAGAACATATTTTAAGTTCCTGCTGTGCCAGTAAGCCAGTTCACTAAAGCAAACACTCTAAGAACCTTTACTAAGGCAGCCTCTCATTAGCTCTGCTTCAGTGTGAGTACATCAAACATGTACTCTCTTCTGTCTAAAAACAGCTGTCAGCTTCCATTCCTCTTAAGTCATAAGAAATCCAAACGCCCAGCTCCACTCTGTTTCCTATCCTCTCAGCAGTAGAAACTCGTGAGAGAATATAAGGGCATTGAAGACACTGTATTTACAAGTCTTTCCATGGCTCTCTAGTTAGGAACAGTTGGAAGGACTTAAATAATTAGGTAACCTATTTTCTTTTTCCTTCTGAGCCCTCTTGTCCAGTCATATGTCTTTCTTCGCTTTTAGGAGTCAGGGGAAGTTCAAATTGCAGAGCAGCGCAGTGACAGCTGAGATACTAAAACAGGTTTCTTTTTCTGGAGAAGTGAAATTAATATACAATTTTACGGCTGACATGGAAGCTACTGACATTTCAATAGTGTGAGTGAAAGAAACGAGAGCTCAGAGTTCACTGCTAAAATGCGATCTACAACAGAAATCAAATTAACAGAAATGAAGACAGTTTGTGGAATGAAAAATGTAAATTTATTTCCTTTGTGTAATAGTTCTACTAATAGCTGTGTTGATATTAAAAAATAACCCTTATATCTTTATAAAAAGGTATTAATATTACTCTCAGCCTTTATAATTGCATGGCTTGATAAAATTTAGGGGGGTAATTTAAAGAATCACTGTCTATCTCTTCAAGCCCTGAAAACACAAATACACATACAGACAAACCAAAATGAACCTTCACCATCATGTCACACAAGTGGATTGCTAGATGTAAGAAACTACCCACCTGGATATATGGTATCAGCTTTGACATTCAGTAACTTTTTTAGGGAGTTCATATACTCATAGAGGTCTTCAAATACAGCTGTTCCTTCTCCTAGGATGCAATCTCCAGAAAAGAGAGCATTTTCCTCTTCTAAAAGTAGAGCCATATGATCATCAGTGTGGCCAGGTGTGTGTATAACTCTGGTTAAAAGATAAAGAAGAAACAGTAATAGTTATAAACTCAAAGGCTCAGAAGAAATTTTGAGAAGTAATCTATCCTCTGTCCTTATCTCAGTAAGACACAAACAAATCATGTTAACCAGTTAAAAAGCTCCTTTTAAAACTTTTTTAGAGGCACCTGGGTGGCTCAGTCGGTTGAGTGTCCGACTTTGGCTCAGGTCATGATCTCACGACTCGTGGGTTTGAGCCCTGCGTCGGGCTCTGTGCTGACAGCTAGCTCAGAGCCTGGAGCCTGCTTCACATTCTGTGTCTCCCTCTCTCTCTGACCCTCCCCTGCTCATTCTGTCTCTATCTCTCTCTCAAAAATAAATAAAAACATTTAAATTTTTAAAAAAAAATTTTTATATGTTTTTATTTATTTTTGAGGGAGAGAGAAAGAGGGATGGTGAGAGTGAGCATGAGTTGGGGTGGGGCAGAGAGGGAGGGAGACACAGGATCTGAAGCAGGCTCCAGGCTCTGAGTTGTCAGCACAGAGTCCAACATGGGGCTCAAACTCACAAACCACAAGATTGTGACCTGAGCCGAAGTTGGAGGCTTGATCAACTGAGCCACCCAGGTACCCTGAAAAAAAATCTCCTTTTCTGAAAGGAATTAAAATTAATAGTAATTAATTGAAAATAATCACCAGAAAATTCTCTCCTTCAAATCAAATTTCTCACTCTGAAGTGCAAATTCAATAGTTTCCCAGCTTTTTTACAATAATAAGCTTGTGCTGATTACAACAGATTTTGAAAAGAGAAAGGAAAATACTTAAAGTAGATAACAATTCACAATCATTCCACTACTCAAAGACAGTGTCTTTTATTATTTAAAAACATTTTTTTCAGTTTTCTTTGTATATGTTTATTTTACAATATACTTTATGGTGAGACTATGAGAAAAAAGCACTTTCATAAGTTGCTGGTGGGAGAGCCAAACAGTAAAGCCCACATGGAAGGGAATTTGGCATTTTCTAGCAAAATTACATAAACTTTTGATCCATTGATCACACTGCTAGAAATTTACCATGAAAATATACCTTCAAATATACAAAAAATACATACAAGCTATTCATCACACTATTTATAAAAACAAAGTATTAGGAACAACCCACATACCCATCCACAGGACACTGTGGTCACATTGTGGTATGTCTACACAGTGGAATACTATGTAGCAGCCATCAAAACAATGATGAAGCTCTCTTATGAAATGAGATGGAGTAATCTGCAGGATATATTGTCAAGTGATTAAAAAAAAAAAAAGCATGGTTCTTTTCGTGCCTTTGCTCTGTTGCCGGTGCAGGCTGCGAACTGTACTTGGTATTGCACCCCAACCACCTACCCCTGACCTTTGTCCGGTCTTTCAGGCCATGCACGGGGAGCCTCAGGACAAGGTGGTTGGTATGGGTCTGGGAGCCTGGAGATGAGTGTCTGGCCTGGCATTTGGACCTTTGAGACACACAGGCAGGTATACTCTGGCACCGCCCTGATGAGAGCGCATGGCCCTGGGCCAGTCCCTAACATCAACTCTGCTGAATGTGCCACAAAGCAGATCCTTGACCCCCTCTACCCTCAGACTCCTTACAGTTGGTTAAGCTCTCCCCCTGCCCCACTTCCATTTGGCCTTGTCACCAAGCACCTTTTCTATACAGACATCCAGACTGAGAAAGACCTGGAAATTATGGGTCCTAGGAGCTACAGCCTCAGCCCCATCAGCAAGCATGGAAGCACCCAAAAGCATGCATCAGCACAGGATCGACTTTGACAAGTATCATCCAACTTATTTCAGAAAAGTTGGTATGAGGCATCACCACAGAGAACTTCTGCCCAACTGTCAACCTTGATAAACAGTGGACAGTGGACTGTGGCCAGTGAGCAGACTCAGGTACATGCTGCCAAAAATAAGACTGGAGCCGCCCCTATCACTGACGTGGTGCGATCGGGTACTACAAAGTTTTGGGGAAGGGAAAACTCCCTAAACAGCCTGTCACCTTGAAGACACGATGACAGTGCGAGAGCTGAACAGAAGATTAGGGTGTGTGTGTCAAGGGGCTGTGTCCTGGGAGCTTGAAGCCATGTGGAGGGAGGTTCATTAAATGCTAACAGATGCTTTTCTCTTAAAAACAAAGTGTGAAAGAGTGCTGATGATTGCTCTTCTGTATAGAAAGTTGGGGAAATGAAAACGTATGTTTCCTTATTTTAGTAAAAAGAAAGGAAGGATAAATAAAAACACAAATGAATATAGTTGCCTATAGGGGTAGGCAGGTGGGGTGTAGGGAACAGAGATGCAAGCAAGGCTTCTCTGATAATAACTTTTTTATTGGTTTTAACTTTTTTTTTTTAAGTTTTTTTAAATTTTTTTTTAAATTTATTTCTAGGAGAGAGAGAGAGAGAGACAGCGTGAGCAGGGGAGGGTCAGAGAGAGAGGGAGTCACAGACTCTGAAACAGGCTCCAGGCTCTGAGCTGCAGTCAGCACAGAGCCCGACGCGGGGCTCGAACCCACGAACTGCGCGATCATGACCCAAGCGAAAGTCGGACGCTTAACCGACTAAGCCACCCAGGCACCCCTGGTTTTAACTTTTTAAGCTACTATATTCTAAACATTAAACTAAATAAAAGGTGAAAGAAAACATTAACAGTGAATACAGAAAGAAGCTAATCTTACTATGTACCAGATAGATAATACAGCCATACTAACTCCAATAACTTTTAAATACTGAGATTATACATCCTTAATAGAATATATCTTAAGATTAAAAGAACTGGATGGATTTTGAACCTTGCTTAATAGGTTTATTTTTGACAGTATGACAGGTTGCCTGTGTTTCTGAAATTATTTTGTGTTTATTGTATCCTATGAGAAGCAAGATTTTTTTACTGTGGGATAAGGAAGAAATATATATGAATGAGGAAATTAAGGTTTCGGGTTGTTTCTCATCTGAACTGAGGAATCATTATGAATTCATCCTTTTTTCCCTGAGCTCCATGAAAGGCCCAGAAGTAATGATAGTCCAGGAGTAATGAGCACACCTCATACTTAGTTCTTTGTTTCTAAATACCATTCCCCACTTAAAGAAATCAGGGCTTCTTGAAGACATGGCTGGCTCCAGGTCTGGGGCAGGGAGAGATAAAAGTGATATGGAGACATCTCTTTTGTCTGGTTAAACCTGCTGCAATCTATTAATGAAAGTATTCAATGTTACATGAAAATAATTCCAGGAGGTGTATTTTCACAGCTATCAAAATATGTGGGTTTCCCACACCTTATGGACAATCTTATGAACAATCACACATACAATGCATTTGTGAACAGAATCCCAATCTTTTTTTTTTTTCCTTAATCTACAAAAACTGATTTGGAGAAGCACTCTTTGATTTCAGAGCCTGCAGACTGTCTTATCTGTCACTGTGCTTGCAATGTGTCCTTTATTTTTCCCTCCCATTCTCCACTCCCGAACTCAGTAATGATTTTCTTTGATAACCAAGGCAATAAGATTTCTTAAATTAGGGGATCAGAAATTCCAGTTCTCTATCACCTGGACAGCAAATGCTTTAATCTGCATTAAAAGGGTGTTAAAATTCACTTCACATAGGCAGGGGGAGGAAAAGAAATGACATCAGAGGTGCTTTGCTAAAGATCAGAGGAACTGCAGCTGTGGCCTTCCCATTCATCAGGTGGCTCATTTATCTAGTTCTGCCCCTTCTATGATAGAGCAGACTTTATAAATATGGCTCTCTTAGAAGATTTAGAACAGGAAACAAAAGCTGTCAGACTGACTTTTCTTTGAGAAACTGACCTTAGGTCATTAGAAAATTCTTGAAGGTTATATTCAGAATCAAATCCTACTGAAAACCTGCTTTCTTCTTTTTCACTAAAGGGTTCTTGGTGGGTATTGTCTCTAACACTATTGTATTTTTTTCCCACAAATTGGCAAGTAGACCAGATCAACTGGACATGAAGTACTTGACTTAAGTAGATTCTAATTTCCCATTTATGGAACTTTTGCTTAAAGGATCTTCTTGTTAACATTTAAAACAACTGGGTTTTACTAACTGTATTTAAAATGGAAATTGGAAATCATGGTTATCGGCAAACTAAATGTTTTATTCAAATTCTAGTATAATTAGATTTTGGTGAAAAGGTTATTTACTAAGTCATTTTTAAAAAGTGGGTCTACTTTTTTAAATTCTTTTAGTTTACCTCCCAAATCTTAAAATAGATTTCTGTAATTTATCTTAATCAGAATTCAGTGAAAAATTAAATGCAATTCAGAAAATACTGAGGGCTTCGGCATTAGTTCACCTCAAATGTAAGATCATATTCAACTGCATGTCAACGGTGGAGGCAGTGACACGAAGCAAGCATGTGGGATGCTTTTGGGAACTGATGTTGTCATTACTTGCTCCAGTGATGCTCAGTTTGTAATAATTCACCACGGTGCAATCATCAGTATGATATATACAGTTTTCCTTTTGTATAAATAAAAAGCTTTTTTTAACTAAAAAGCTTAAAAAGATATGGTGTGTTCATGACAGATGGGTGGTAATTAATTACCTAGGACTGAATGTTCTTAATCTGCAAATTAGGTATAAGTCTAATATCCATGATTCTGTAATAACTAATAAACCAGTACCATGGTTCCCAAGCCTTTGAAACAGATCCTTAATGTGTGATGGGGGAAAGTCACCATTGTTGAGAAGACTCCCTGAAGAAGTAGTAATGTAATGTTTATTATCCTTAGGTATCATGGACAACTTTTAGGAGATATTATCATATTTCCAACAAGAGCATTTTAAGAAAATTGCCCAGAAATTAGTTGGCTTATAAATCATATTTATAAATCAACAGCATAGTAGGAAAAGGGAACACTGGTCTGAAAGGGGGCCTGAATACCCAGTTCTTCATCTTCTCTTTCTCATTCATCTGTTCCCCTCTTTGTAGATATTTACTATGTGTTGGATAAATATTCCGTGCCTTCTATGTGCCTGGGACTAAGGATCTGAAGATGAACCTGGTATCTGCCTTGTGTCGAGAAGAGCCAGCCTATCATCAAACCTTTCTTCTTTTTCCTGGAGATGAATTTAAGCTCTATTTCTCAGCCTGCCTGTAGCCAGCAGTGGCCCATGACTGAATTTACAGCCAATGTAACGGAAGGTCTGGTTCATGAAAGCCTCCCATGAAAGATCCCTTCTGTGCTTCTTCTTTACAACCCATTGGATCAATTGAGGTGAACAAGGTGAGCCTGAAAACCAATTATTTAGGATGGTGGAGTCACAAGATGGAAGGTGTCTGAAACATAATTTGCAGGTGCGGGGGGTACTGGATAATCAGGAAGCTTTTCTGGACTTTATAAGACTGGGAAGAAAACTTAATTCATGTATCAAACATTATACATTTTGGGGTTGGTTTGCTCCAGCAACTGGCATTAACTAATACTGTGAACCTAAGGGGTTTATTAACCTTTAAGGAAATACCTACTCACACACACACACACACACACACAAATTACAATACAACTCAATAATTACCATAATAAAATAAAATTAATACGAAACTTAGAGGAAGGAGCAGTTAATTGTGCCTGGAAAGGGTTCTTGTGGTGAGAAACCTGTGAACTGAAGTTGGAATATTTGGATACGGTTAATTGTGTTTACAAGAAAAGTGGTTGAACTTAGACTAGGAAAGTGGTTTGGGGTCAGACAGTGACATGGTAAGGAGAATAAACATGATCTTGTGTGCAGTGAGAGTTATTCAAGGTTTCAAGTGACATGGGTTATGAAGGGTAGATTGGAAAGGGGAGCCTGGAGACAGGAATATTAAGTAAAAAGCAGTGCTAGTAGTGGACACGAAGAAAAGGGGACAACTGGACAAATATTTTTAAGGCAAAAACTAACCTCATTAGATGTGGTGGGTGGGGAAAAGGAGAGCTATAAAGGTGAAGTGGAGCCAGTTTTTGTCGTAGAAGAAAAATTACAATCTTAAGTGCTGAGAGTAGTAGGTGTTCTGAAGTCGGAAAGCAAGTCGATAGTGGGGGGCAGAGAAGAACCACAGGTTCAGTTGTTAAATTACTGAATTTGAAACAACTTTTCAATCTCACTTAGTTCATGGGAGATTAGGGGCCTGGCCTAAAATGTATTTACTTTAGGTATGGGTCCTCTTTTAGAGCATGAGAAGGTCCTTAATTTAATTGATGGTTAGAGCCCTAAACCACCCTAGCAGGAAATGCTGATCAATTTTTTAATTTAAATTTTATTTAAAAAATGGTAATCATATAATTCAAACAAATAATTTACAAAGGGTAGATAGAGTGGAAAGTCTTTTCTTTTCCCTATTTCTCAAGCAACCAGTCTTTCTTCCCAGAGTAACCAATGTTATCAGATCTTTTATACCCTTCCTGAGATATTCTTCACTCATATAAGCAAATATGCAGAAATCTTCCTCTCCTTTCTTTTTATAAGACATACATAACCTCTTCCCCCTTTCCTGGCTAAAGGATGTTTACTGACCTGAGAGTGGCACCCTCAGTTTTAATCACATCTCCATCTTGCAGATACACATATTGTTGCGTTCCGTCTCCTATAATTTCTTTTCTTGGAGGATTCCGTGGGAGTTTTTTAATGCAATACGCAGTGTCTAGTAACAAAACATGTAAAATATATTATGTCATACTTTAAATGATAATTCAGCCTTTTAAGAGATCAGCTTTCATAGAGCTAACACTATGCAAGACTGCAAAAAATATTAACATTAAGAGAGAGACAAGAGAAAATGGGATGGGTTATAGCAGTGTTATCTCTGGAATGGTAATTATGTTTTCATTCCCAACAAAAGCTTTTTATTCTTTCATGCACTTCTAGGTCTACATATGAGCCCTTGAGATTTTCTAGTCATTCTTACTTAATACAAAAGTTTGAAAGTAGTTCTTCATTACCTCAGCTAGCTTTGCTATCAAGATGGGTGTTGAAGACGGAGTAACACAGTACCTGGGAACTTTCTTTCTATCTAGGCCTTAACATACAATAGAAGTCATGGCATCATGGTACTTAATAATAAAAAGATGAGAGTGCAGTGTTCTTTCTGTGAATGCCAAAACCCGGGGCTAAGATATCAAACTGTTAAAATAAATTTAACCCATACTAGACCTCTCACTGACATTAAGAAAATCAATTAACCAATCAATAGCTGAGTGCCAATTATCTAACCAGTATACTATACATAATGAATATAAGCACCATGACATCCAAATGATTAACAACTATCACAATTGGGGACATAACATTTACAAACAAGAAATAATTAAAGAACTATACTCGGTCTCATTTAATGAATACTAAATGGACAATTCAGCCAATAAAAGCAATACTAGTTAAGAGAAAGAAGAAACAATTAGGAAAAGATTCATAGATTTGATATAACTTGAAGCGTGGCTTACAGGATGAGAAATATGGGAAAAGGTACAGAGAATGACTTCTAGATAAGGGGAACAGCATTTGGAAAAGCATAGAAATGACCGCGTGCATGGCATATGTGCAACAGTGCAATGCTACCAATTTGTTTAATGCAAAATACTGGCTGAGAAGCAGAAATAAAATGGGATTAGATGCGCTCAGACCATGGAGGGCCTTATACTTCCTTTCAAAGAACAGAAGGATTTAAACTTTACCATATGTGGCCACTGTACAGTCTTTGGAAAGAAAATGAGATACTATTAACCTGTTAATCAATATGGCAGCTCTAGACGGGGCACTGGAGGGGGAGAGATCAGAAAGACCAGGAGGGGATGACTATAATAAGGTTGGAAGCTGGAAGGTTGTGAATATCAGAACTAAGGTGACAGCAGCAGACAACATGGAGAAAAAGACATTCAGGGAAAAACTGACAAGGCACAGAAATCAGGCTACAATGGAAGATAAAGGAGACAGAAATACTGCAAATATAAAAATAAAACAACTGGGACCAGACCTTCCCTCTCCAGCCCCAAACTTCACTATTTTGTATCTTGGAGGCTGAGGCAAAAAATAATATGCTATTCTGGGAACTGGCATTATATAATAAGACTGTCTTCATTCTGGAGTGAGATGGGGAGGTTTTTTGGTATGTGTTTATTTTTAATCTGTATAATTTTGTCTTTCAGACGTAGAGGTATTATATTTCTAGTTATGGGATCTTTGGTACATAATCCTTCCAAAAAACTCACCATTACCTTAGAATTACAAAACAAATGTCAAGGAATAACTTTGTATCAGTTTTTAAAGTTATGTGCAAATATGAAAACACATATCCTACTCAAATAAATAATCTATATATGCAGGATGGAGGACATGCTGAAAGCATTCATATAATAATATTTAATAAAAGCTTATTGAGATATAATTCAATAGTATAAAATTCAGCCTTGTAAAGTGTACAATTCAGTGTTTTTAAAGTATATCCAGGGGTGCCAATTAATGCTTTCTGTTTACCATTAGTGATGCTTTCACAAATATCTTTTATGCCCCCAGTATGATCAGTGTGCCAATGAGTCACTATGATTTCCTGGATTGTTGTATTAAATTCAGTCAGAGCCTGCTTTAAACAGCTGATGTATTCTGGAATTGCTGGTTGTCCAGTGTCAATGAGGATTCTCCTGAAAATTAAATGGAAGATAATCACACAATTGGAACACAGAGTGAATATCAGCATATGACACACAGATAATTCATATTACATTCAAGAAACTGCATAAATCGCTTTCAACCTCCTTGAAAGCCAACTATATGATACTTTGCCTTAACCACAGTAATCTTACTGTAAGAAAAGTTCTTTGAAAAAAACTTATAGGGGCGCCTGGGTGGCTCAGTCAGTTGAGTGTCAGACTCTTGATTTCGGCTCGGGTCATGATCTCAAGGTTGTGGGATCAAGCCCCATGTCAGGCTCTGCGTTGAGCCTCTCTCCCTCTGCCTCTCTCCAGATTGTGTGTGTGCATGCTCTCTCTTTCAAGAGGAAAACAAAACAAAACAAAACCTATAGTTTAAATGTAAGTCTGAACTTGGCAAGTTCAAGGCACAATAATATTGAATACTTACATAACACTTAAAAATGGCATTGGTCTAAGAACCTTACATGTTTTAACAATTATGTTCCTCACAAAACTATTTTTCAATGTTTATTTTTGAGAGCGAGAGAGAGAGCATGCATGCACAAGTAGGGGAGGGGCAGAGAGAGAGGAGACACAGAATCTGAAGCAGGCTCCAGGCTCTGAGCTGTCAGCAGAGAGCCATCTGATATGGGGCTTGAACCCACAAACCGCCTCATGACCTGAGGTGAAATCAGATGCTTACCCAACTGAGCCACCCAGGCCCCATCCCATAAAACTATTTAAAATAGGTATTTCATGGGGTGCTTGGGTGGCTCAATTGGTTAAGCCTCCAACTTCGGCTCAGGTCATGATCTCACAGTTTGCGAGTTCGAGCCCCATGTCGGGCTTGTGCTGACACCACTGAGCATGGAGCCCACTTCCAGTTCTATGTCTCTCCCCCTCTCTCTGCCTCTCCCGTTCATGCTCTGTCTCTCTGTCAAAAATAAATAAACATTGGGGCACCTGGGTGGCTCAGTTAGTTAGGCATCAGACTTTGGCTCAGGTCATGATCTCATGGTTCATGAGTTCAAGTCCTGCACTGGGTTCTGTGCTGACAGCTCGGAGCCTGGGGCCTGCTTCAGATTCTGTGTCTCCCCCTCCCTCTGCCCTTCCCATGCTCATGCTCTGTCTCTTTCTGTCTCTCAATAATAATAAATAAATGTTAACAAATTAAAATAAGTAAACATTAAAAAATTTTATTCAAATAGGTATTTCATTATTGTATTCAGAAATTAAGTAACTTGCCCAAGGTTATGCTGCAAATAAATAGCCAAACCAGCATTCAAACCCAGATATTCTGGCTCCAGAATGTGCTTTTATGCACTCTTTTTTTTTTTTTTTAATGCTTATTTTGAGAGAGAGGGAGAGAACACTAGCAGGGGAGGGGCAGAGAGAGAGGGGGGCAGAGGATCTGAAATGGACTTTGCGCTGACAGAGAGACCGATGTGGGGCTCAAACTCATAAACTGTGAATTCACGACCTGAGCTGAAGTTGGAGGCTTAACCAACTGATCCATCCAGGCTCCCCCATCCACTGTCTCTGAGACCTTTTACAACATCCTCCAATGTCTCATAGATATGAAAGAATTAGATTCAATGGTATTCCTAAAGAAACCTAGTCTTCTGCACTACATCAAACACTTACCACTCAAGTTTTACATTGGTTCCCTTCCACATAAAAATGAAGGTAGTAGGGAGGCATGGGGAAATGTCTGAGTTGCTTTATTTCTTGACTTAGACAACCCTGTTAGTTATATTTTTCTGCTTATGGTTCTGAACCTTCCTTATACTTTGTTCGCCCTTCCTCACTATTTTCTGGGATGATGGGCTTTCTCTGGGAAGTTTTCCTGGACTGAAGAAATAAGGGTGACATCTTCCTTCTTAAGAACCAATGCACAAACTTCTTTTTTTTTATTATAGTTTATGGTCATGCTGGTTTCCATATAACACCCAGTGCTTATCACAACAAGTGCCCTCCTCCATGCCCATCACCCATTTTCCCCTCTCCCCCACCCCCATCAACTCTCAGTTTGTTCTCAGTATTTAAGAGTCTCTTATGGTTTGCCTCTCTCCCTCTCGCCAACTATTTTTTCCCCTTCCCCTCCCCTATGGTCCTCTGTTAAGTTTCTCCTGTTCCACATGAGTGAAAACCTATGGTATCTGTCTTTCTCTGCCTGACATATTTCACTTAGCCTAACACCCTCGAGTTCCATCCACGTTGCTACACATGGCCAGATTTCATTCTTTCTCATTGCTATGTAGTATTCTGTTGTATAGATAAACCACATCTTCTTGATTCATTCGTCAGTTGATGGACATTTAGGCTCTTTCCATGACTTGGCTATTGTTGAGAGTGCTGCTATGAACATTGGGGTACATGTGCCCCTATGCATCAGCACTCCTGTATCCCTTGGGTACATTTCCAGCAGTGCTATTGCTGGGTCACGGGGAGTTCTATTGTTAATTTTTTGAGGAGCCTCCACAGTGTTTTCCAGAGGGGCTGCACCAGTTTACATTCTCACCAACAGTGTAGGAGGGAGCCCATTTCTCCACATCCTCGCCAGAACCTAGAGTCTCCTGATTTGTTCCTTTTAGCCACTCTGGCGCCAACTCAACTTCTTACTTCATTCTGCTTTACAGTAACACCTCCCTGATTCATGTTTGGGGAGAGAAGATTTGTCTTAATGAAAATTCTGAGTCATTCACTCATGAATACAATAACTATATGAATTATCTACTATATGCCATGTCTTCCTTATAAGACAAAACATCCTGTTTATACTAGTGTAGGGTGGGAAGAGGGGAGGGCTATGAAAATAAACAAACAGGCACAGTGATGTAACCAGTTCCGCTTTCTGCAAACCATTAACATGGGGTAAATATGACAGGAAGAAACTGCGTGGCTATTTTATATTGGATGGTTTGTTTCCCTAACCCTATTCCCGGAGATCCAATAAAAACCACCTGTCTGCTTGCAGGATTGGCGTGTTTGTGTGGGGTGGGGGAGGTGTAAATGGCCTTGTGGTCCACAGCCTTTTATCTACACCTTAAGTTCCATGGAGCAGTGGCTGTACTTCACAGGTACATTGTATTATAACTGTCCCTTCTGGAGACAGGAAAACTAGAGGGTTATACTGGCCCAAGAATTAGGAGGTCCTGGAGGCAGAGGAAATATAAAAAGAGGAGATGGTTAAAAAACATTGATACAATCAACAGGATTTTTTTTTTTTTTTGAGGGAGACATTGAGCGTGCATGCACATATGTGCATGCATGTGGTGGGGAGGGCAAAGAGAGAGGGAGAGAATCTTAAGCAGGCTCCATGTTCAGTGTGGAGCCCAACTTGGTGCTTAATCTTACGACCATGAGACTGTGGCCAGAGCTGAAATCAACAGTTGGACATTAACCTGCTGAGCCACCCAGGCACTTCAACAGGATTTTTCTTAAACAACTGGAGTTGGAAGGGAAAGGAAAGAGTTGACGATTCTGTGGCTTCTACGTGAGATGACTGGTATGTCATTAACCAGGACAGTAAACACTGGAGGGAACAAATGCAAAATAAATTTGGTTTGGGCCACAGTGAATTTTGATGACATTGCCAGCATGGGACACATTATGTACTAACATGTCTATTTATTTATTGCCTGTATCCACACCCTACCACAACCTACAAATTTAAGCTCCAGGAGGACAGAAGCCTTGTCTGGTTTTGCTAGAACCTTGATAGTGGCATAATAGATAATTTATAGATAATAAATGTTTGTTGGAGGCACTAGCTTTATTTTTATCTTATTTAATCATCAAAACAATCCTGAGATTCTTCTCTCATTGTATAGATGAAGAAACTGAGGCCTTGATAAGTTAGATATATATGTAATATAGGAACTTGCTCAGAGTCACAACTCTAGCAGAGAATATATTTGAATCCATACCTTCCTACCTGCAATGCACATTTTTTTTTGGATATGAGGCATACTTCAGCAGGTTTTGATGGACAACTTTAGGTGATGGGTTCTTCACCTTTTTAATGTCTTGGGCCCCTTTGGCAGCATGGTAAAACCTATGAACTAGTCTCAGAATAATGTATTGGAATATATAAAATAAAACAGATTACAAAATAAACCAATTAGGCTGAAAAAGTTATCAAAGTTAAAAAACATTATGCTATAAGTATTATATGTGCTTCTGTTATCATATGAAATAACAAGATCAGCACCAAAGCCTCTAATGACCATAATTTCTTTTTAAAAAATATTTTTTAAAGTTTATTTTGAGAGAGAGAGAGTGAGCATGTGCACACATGCACATGAGTGAGGGAGAGGCAGAGAGAGGGAAAGAGAATTGCAATCAGGTTCCATGTTGACCCTGACATGAGCTTCATACTCACGAACTGTGAGATCATGACCTGAGCTGAAATCAGGAGTTAGATCCTTAATCAACTGAGCCACCCATTCACCCCAAATGACCATAATTTCTAAATGGTGATGAATACACATACTATTTTGAGATATTTGTCATGACTGTAACATGCTATGAAAATACTGGAGGAAAAAAAAAATCACAAGTACTGCTATTACTACTATAATTGTTTTGCCCAAATTCATAATTGAATAAAGGTTAATTTTCAGTTTGAGGTTAATAAAGGTAAAGTTATTTCCCCCAGCTAAGGTCAGACTTCCTGAATTATATCCTTTGGGGGACCACAGACTTCAGAGGAAGGACCCCTTATTCTGGTAGAGGAAGAAGAGATGATAAAATCAAGCCTGAGCTACTGGGAATGAACTATTGTTTGTTGATGTACCTACCCCACTTGTCTAGAACAGCCCTGGCACAAAATACACTCTCAATAAATATACACTGAATTAAGTTCAGTTTAAATTCTAGCAAATGATTATCATGTGGTATATACTTTATAAGATGCAAATCATCAGGTATTTTCTGAGCTCCTACCATGAACCCAGTGTTGTTTGGATGCTATGAGGGAAGCAGGAGAGATAATAATAGCTAACATTATGGTATGCTTCCTATATGCTAGGATTTGTTAAGTACTTTTTAAAAAAATGTTTATTTATACTAAGAGAGAGAGAGAGAAATAGCGTGTACAAGTTGGGGGGGGGCAGAGAGAAAGGGGGAAAGAGGATCAGAGGCAGGCTCTGTGCTGTCAGCACAGACCCCAATGTGGGGCTCCAACTCACTAACCATGAGATCATGGCCTGAGCCCAAGTCAGATGCTTAACTGACTGAGCCACCCAGATGCCCAGCCAGCCAGTCAGGTATTAAGTGGTTTTGATGATTTTTCATTTAAATTTCACTGAATCTGGTGGAGAAAGAAGATACCATATGTCTTCACTCATATGTGCATCAGGAGAAACTTAACAGAGGACCATAGAGGAGGGGAAGGGGAAAAAATGGTTGGGGAGAGGGAGGGAGGCAAACCATAAGAGACTCTTAAATACTGAGAACAAACTGAGAGTTGATGGGGGGGGAGGAGAGGGGAAAATGGGTGATGGGCATGGCGGAGGGCACTTGTTGCAATGGGCACTGGGTGTTATATGGAAACCAACTTGACAATAAACTATACTAAAAACATAAATTTCACTGAATCCTCATAACATCCTTTGAGGAGGGTACTATTCAACTCTACTGCACAAATAAGGAATCTGAAGCTTAAAGAGTCAACTGTCTTGTTCAAAGTCATAAGCTAGAATGTGGATTTAGGTACAGAGTCTCAACTCTAATTGCTACATTAGATTGCATTTTCCTATTAAAAGATATACTATTTGCCTTCAAGGAAGTTATAATTTTGGATAGTAAAGGTTAAACTCGCAGCATCTGGAGATTCTTGAGCAGAGGAGGAAGACAGAAACACTTGTCAGAAGATCTGGCTATTATTTGTCCATTCCAATGTTTACTGAGTACTTCTGTACACGGTACCGTTCGTAGTGCTTTAGGGAAATTTATTTGGCATACACGGGCTGATCAGAATGAAGGAACACCAGCTACAACTATAGTTATTCAGAAATCGTAGTCATAATACTGAAAAATGAAGAGAAAACTTAGAGAACAATCATTCATTCAGCAAATATTTACTGTACTACTTGTACTATGTACAAAGCTCTGTGCTAGGTGCTGGGGATACAGTAATGAATAAGCCTTCACTGTACCTAGTTTAGTGGGGAGTGGAAGTGAGGAAAGACATGAAGCTTCTTTTTACACAAAAAAATCTTTTTTGGGGGGCGCCTGGGTGGCTCAGTTGGTTAAGCGTCCAACTTTGGTTCAGGTCATGATCTCATGGTTCATGGATTGGAGCCCTGTGTCAGGCTCTGTGCTGACAGTTCAGAGCCTGGAGCCTGTCTTCAGATTCTGTGTCTCCCTCTTTTTCTGACCCTCCCCTGCTCACGCTGTCTCTCTCTCTGTCAAAAAAAAAAATTAAAAAAAAATTTTTTTTAAACCTTTTTTCCCCCCCACTCCGGTAAGGACCATGAAAAGTGTAGAGTGCTAACACAGTGCATTACATTAACCTAATATAGTGTAAGGGGTCAGGGACAGCCTCCTTGAGGAAATATTTTGACTGAACTCTACAGGCTGAGTGAAGACAGCTGGTAAAGTGGAGAGGGATAAGTGGGAGACAGAGGAAAACATGCAGGGAAGCCAGGAGGCAGAATGAATACAACCCATCTGGCTGGGATGGGGGAAAGGTTGTAGATGAGGTTGATGAGACAAGTGGAGGCCACAAAATGCAAGGCCTTCTAATTTTAATTTTCAAAATACTATTCCTGCCACATGGGGGAGAATGGATTAGAGAAAGACAAAAACAGTTCCAGAGAAGCCAGTTAGGTTTTGTAGAAGCCTAAGCAAGAGTCATTCTGGTGTGGACAGGGTGACAGCAGTGGAAATGGAAAGCTCTTCAAAATGGCATGGAGGTATATGCAAGAAGCTGAGAAATGGCAGGGAGGGGACTAAGCGTTTGCGTCAATCAAATGTGGGGATGGTTCTGTTTACCAAGAAAGATATGGAAACACTGATTGTGAGACACTGAGTTTTAAGTGGCTGTGTCATCCAAGTACAGATTTAAGAAAAGGAGCTGGCTATCCTAATCTGAAGACCAAGTTTGTATTAAAAAAATTTTTTTTAATGTTTATTTTTTGAGAGACAGAGAGAGAAAGAAGGAGGGGAGGGGCAGAGAGAGAGGGAGTCAGATTCCGAAGCAGGCTCCAGGCTCTGAGCTGTCAGCACAGAGCCCGACATGGGTCTAGAACTCACAGAGATCACAGGTGAGATCATGACCTGAGTGCGAGTCAGACGCTTAACCGACTGAGCTACCCAGGCTCCTCAGATCAAGTTTGTATTTTATCTAAACTGGAGCTATAAAGTTGAGAGCTATTAAGGGCTAGATATTAGGTGAAGCCAAGGAAGTAGACAAATCACCTAGGTGGAGAATATACCATGACAACAGAAGAGAAACTAAGATGGCATCCTGAGGAACTCACACACTTAAAGACCTGGTAAAGAGGCCGATTTTATTAAAAAAAAAAAAAAAAAGACTGAGAAAGAACAAGAGGAAACCTCGAGACTGTGGTGTTAGTAAATCCGGGGAATGGTCAACAGTGTCAAAAGGTACTGAAGTTCAAATAAGATAGGAATGGAGAAATGCCATTAGGTTTGGTGATATAGGAACCCCCTGTGATCTTAGAACTGTTTTGTGCAGAACAAGTGGATACCAATATCTGACCTCTTATTTGTATCCAATTAATATTCATCTCTTGCTACCTGACTTCTACTTTATACAGCAGAGTAACATCACCTGCATGCTATTCTAGCTCAACTAGATGAATTCATTACATATATGTCATATATGAGTGATTCCACTGGCCATCCCACCCCAGGAGTTTATGTGAGTGGTAACGTAAGCAGTGTAAAGTGGAAGACAATAGTCACTTCCAGGTTCTCTATGTCCCTTTTACACAAACACTCTGCTACACTGAAAGTGATTCTAGTGTTTAAAGATATATATTTTTCATACAACATGGCCCCTAAATGCAGGCCAACTTCATCATCTGGTTTTCAAACAGAACCAGTCATCTGCTTCATTGCTGGAAGAAAAGCAGGCTGCACTGAACTTACTGTTAGATAGTGTATGACCTCCAACATAGTTCTTCCTAAGAGACTTAGGGTAATTTTGACTATCTTCAATTTTATTACAGGTACTGACATTGGAACTAGTTTAAGATGACACACTGAAGAGAGAAGAGAATGCTTAGGACCTCCTGGGGTGAGGGAGTCCCAGCCAAGACAGACTATATCTTAGCTCTGAGGTATGTTTTCTGCTGAATTCTCTATCCTTCTAGATTCTGGCGGCAGCCCAAAGCAATTTTTGTACCTACTTGATCTTTGTTTACTGTGAACGTAACTTCTGTTTTCCTGGCTTTAGTACTTCTGGTTCCTTCATCCTGCTCCATCCAACATTCAGCAAATACAGCAGATACTTCAAATGAAAACTCCAATTATTCTTACTAAACTGTTTTTGGAAATCAGTTTTATGAATCCTAACACCTTGAAATATACGATTAAATTCTAGGCTAAAGAAGAGCTGTTATCTTATTTTTATTTTGTCTTATGTGTGATATATACTAAAGAAGCATACAAAAACTGTTCAATGCACATTTGTGCAGCACACCATGCCTCTCCACTTCTGCAGAATTACCCTAAAACAATACAGTTGAAGAGGAGAAAAATCTTAGAAACACAGATAGGTTATTCCACCAACAAAATAACTTAAATGAGGCCACACAATAGTAACAAAACCCAAAATCTGTTAGTGGGCTCCTCCTTCCCAAGGGATTAGGGGGCTCGTTAGGGTTTCACAGACTCCAGCAATTTGCAAGCAAGAAAATCCTGCCCTCTGCTGCTGAGTTAAGAAAAAGGCCTCAGCACAAGTAATCTACTTTAGTGAAGGGCAAGTTATACTCCGAGCAAAACACTAGTCAAAGGCAGAAGGTGAGCAAAGTAAACGCTTTTCCGGATTACTAGCTCCAGGCGATCCTAATTTCTCAACATCTTAAACACACTCATTCTGGCATTCAACATAAAGCAAAGTAAATGAGGTTTCAAAAACAGGACGTTTTCCCCCCATTATTTCTCTCTCATCAGCCATTTGTAAGTTAGAGAGGTTACCACCCGGTACTATGGTGATTCAGGGGATGCCTGGAATCGGGGCGTCTGACGGGGGTACTGAGTGGGGCAGCCTGGCCGAGGCAGGGCACCGAGCCCCAGGCTGCCGGCTCATAGCCTCTCCGCCTCCGGCGAGCAGTCGTCGCCGCCCCGGTTCTGGGCGTCCCGCAGGCCCCGGTGTTTGTCGGGGAGGAAGAGGGACGTTTACCTGGTGCCGATCCCTATCAAGTAGGTGTTGGTGCCCTGCAGGGTCATGGGTCCCGGGTTACAGCCCAGGATGCGCACCACCCTACTGGAGAGCCGCTCGATGCGCTGCAGGACGGCCGACATTCCGCCTCTGTTTCCACCGCCCGCCGACGCGCGGCCCCTGGAGCGCGGCGGTATTCACTAGGCCCGGGGCGGGGCCAGCAGTCGGCTGACTCCGCGCTCGCCGCGCGAGAGGGGAACTCAGCTGTGCTGGGGGCGGGCCCAGAGGTCAAAGGCCGTCCCGCCCCCCGCGGCGGGCTCCTCGGGCGGCGGGGGCGAGCGGGGCGACGGCGCGTGGCCCGAGGCTTCTTGAGGCCAGGTTGGCTTCGCGACGCCGCAGAGCCTGGTGCCTTCGCAGGGATTTGTGTCCACGCAGGCGAGTTCATCTCACTGGTCGTGAGACATTTTAACCTGGGACGTCTTGTCATGGAGCAAAGGTCAGGCAGGTGCGGGGTTAGTTACAAGACGAACTTGTTATTAGGCAATGGCGGTGTATGGGGTTGTGTGTGGGAAGGAACTTGTTCAACTTTCATAGTAAATAGCGGCAGCTAACATTTACTTAGTTCTTATTGCTATGCTAAGCGGTTTTTCTTAACACTATCATTTAATCCTCACAACAACGGTTAGGAGGAAGACACTATTTTTGTGTCTGTTTTACAAATGAAAAACGGGGACTTGGAAACTCGCCCGGGTGACAGCTCTGTGAACCCCGCCCAGCGTCTGCAGCTTTGTCTCTGGCCGCTTTGTCCCCAAGCTGTCCGGTTCGAGGAGCTTGTCGCGGCCTCCGCGTCCGGTGCTCCTGCCCAGACACGTCGGTCGGCTTTGAGGAGTTTTGTGCCCAAGACATAAGGGAGTTTATTCTCTCATAAGGAGTCCTTTTCTGACATGTTGGCATTAACTATCACAGGATTATCCACCGCTACCTGTTTAAAAAAAAAAAAAATCGAGTTCCAAGTTACCGAAAACGCACAGATCGTGTGATCATTTCATTGATTTAGGACAAGTGCACTACCTCAAAAGAGATACAGATCATCTCCGCTGTCCCAGCCCACTTCTTTTCGAAAACAAGTGAGAAATTGACACTAGATACTTGTGGGTCTAAAGTTTAGGGAACAGTTTTAACTTTTTTTTTTTTTTGCAGGTATTTCTAAAGAAAAGACTGCTATTTGTATGCTACTTACCTTATGAATCATTAGTTTAATATTCCAGATTTCTTGAAAGACACACCTGTACTATGTGGGAACATTTCTTTGCCTTGTGTCTCAAAGATGTACTTTTATTTTTTTACATGTTTTTTAAAATTTATTTATTTCTAGGAGAGAGAGAGAGAGACAACGTGAGCAGGGGAGGTTCAGAGAGAGAGGGAGATACAGACTCTGAAACAGGCTCCAGGCTCTGAGCTGGCAGTCAGCACAGAGCCAGACGCGGGGCTCGAACCCACGAACCGCGAGATCATGACCCAAGCGCAAGTCCGACGCTTAACCGACTAAGCCACCCAGGCGCCCCTCAAAGATGTACTTTTGAAGGAAAAGTGTTTTTAAACACCTTTGCTGAAATAATCATGTAAATTATCCCGTTTGTAATAGGAAGAGAGGCAATATGCACTTTAAAAAAATGTTTGGGAGAACCATCAAAATTCCCCACATCAGGCATTTTCAGTTCCCCAATTTATTTGTAGCCATCACTTTAATGGCTGTTCAGTCAGGAAGCTACTTCCATTTTCTTTTTTTAAAAACCCTGAGCTGGAAAGTCAGCAAACCTTTGAGAAGATGGTGGAACAGTGATTTCTGGGACTTGTGGGCAGACATTCTTCTAACCCTTGACTTTTTGTTTTAAGTTCTAATTTCCTTTCTGGGTTCCATCTCATTTAATCCATTGCCAAGCTCTTCATTTGGCAGACAAAGCAATGGACCCAAATAATTTAAAAGTTAAGTGACTTGATTTGAGACATTAAACACCAGCTGAAGAGGAGGAACAGATGTTGGATAGTGAACTTGGTTTAGACAAATTGAAATTAGGATGATTGTTGGATATCCTGGTAAAGAAATATATAGACAGTTGGACATAGTGTTGAGCTCAGAAGAGTTCTAGGCTGCTGATACAAAATTGTCTTTGTGGACATGTTTAGCAATGTGACTTGAAGTTAAAGCTCTTCTTCGAGAAATAAGACGAAAGATTTTATATTCTGTTCAGTTACATTTACAATCATTTATCATCTGCCTACAACGTGCAACGTATTGTTGTAGACATATGAGGGGGGGTGTTAAAAATGATAGTGGGCTTTCTAGAGGCTTATAATCAGGAAGGAGATATACATTATGTTATTTTAAAGCACATGTAGGTAAATCCTAGAGAAGTATAGTTGAAGTGATGGGATTGCAAGGGGGGAGGGGGAGAATCAAATTAATTGGGAAGATCTGGGGAGGCTTAAAGGTGGTAGGGTTTTAAGAACTGATTCTTAAAGGACTGATAGAACTTGATCAGGTAGATGGAGGTTGGAAGGGTATTCTAGACAGTAAATAATGTTGAGAAAAAGCCTTGGAAATAGAAGACCTGTAGTATTTATTTGGGGAAGAGAAACCAGTAATCATATGTTCTTGGGGCATAGGGTTTGAGAAAGTATATAGGTTGAAAAAGGTAGGTGGTACTAATTTAAAAATACTTTGTAAATTTCTTTATCAGAGTACTTCAAATTTAAGAATCTGTCCTTTTTGAAACACTTGTTATCTACTTGGATATGCTGGGAAGAAAATTGTATTTTCTTAAAACTTAAAAAAATTTTTTTTAATGTTTTATTTATATCTGAGAGAGACAGAGAGAGAGAGAGAGAGAGACAACGTGAGCAGGGGAGGGTCAGGCCAGAGAGAGACGGAGACACACACACAGAGAGAGAGAGACAATGTGAGCAGGGGAGGGTCAGGCCAGAGAGAGACGGAGACACACACACAGAGAGAGAGAGAGAGAGAGAGAGAGAGAGAGACAACGTGAGCAGGGGAGGGTCAGGCCAGAGAGAGACGGAGACACAGAATCTGAAGCAGGCTCCAGGCTCTGAGCTGTCAGTACAGAGCCTGACACGGGGCTAGAATCCATGAACTGTGAGATCATGACTTGAGCTGAAGTCAGACGCTTAACTGACTGAGCCACCCAGACACCCCAAAATTTAAATTTTGAATGCAGTAAAACCTTGTAACCTAGTCAACTTATCGAGAGGGCCATGTTGTTCTTTCTCCCTGTGTGATAGCTATAAAAGGGTGTACTGTAGTCACAATGACATAAACTCTTGTTATCACTAGATGAGAAAATCCCATATATGACTAACAGATGAGTTCAGTTTCATTTTAGTATTCGATCTTAAAGGTTTACGTGCCCTTTAATGATACTTGTTTTCAGTGAAGAAGAAATAAAAGATGCCAAGGATGAAGATTTTCCAGAAGGGACTTTGACTTAAAGAAGGCTTTTTATACTTGACAAGTAAGTCTGTATTTTATGTGTGTTGAATTTGGTTGAGAAACGAAAGTTTGTTAGTTTTTACTTCTTCAGGTATCTGTATTACTGCGAAGAGATCACATACAGTGGGCAAAGGTTATTTATTTTGGCTGGCAGCCAGTTAGCCACATAGCTGGGATGACCTTTGAATGAAATTGAATTGAAACTGTCCTGTTAAGTAAGCAAGTATCACAAATTCTCTATGAAGTCAAATTTTGTAGGTGGTATTATTTCTCCTAAGGTGATTATACCGTAGGGATAGATAGGAACCATCCTTCATATAATTTATACAACTCTATGTCCATTGAAGGAACTATAGACCCTCTTTATGAGAGCCGCTATATTTATTTCCTTGCTATGTAGTTTTCTTTCCAGTTGGCATTGTGCTCTGTCTGACTAAATTAGGAATATAGAAGTTGCCATGTCAGCTCAGTCTATTGAGTCTGATGTTTTGCCAATAACTTAGAAATTATTTTTGCCATTTGGTAAAATTTATTTGAAAATTGCAAGTGATTTCCATATCCATGCCAGGTATGGTTCTCTTTGTAGGGATAGTGATTAAGAAATGTACGGATGAGGGGCACCTGGGTGGCTTGGTCGGTTAAGCGTCCGACTTTCGCTTGGGTCATGATCTCGCGGTTCGTGGGTTCGAGCCCCGCGTCGGGCTCTGTGCTGACTGCCGGCTCAGAGCCTGGAGCCTGTTTCAGTCTGTGGCTCCCTCTCTCTCTGGCCCTCCCCTGCTCACGCTGTCTCTCTCTCCTAGAAATAAATAAAACATTTAAAAAAAAAAAAAAAGAAAAAGAAATGTACGGATGAAGTGCTTAGGTATTATAGTCTGTAACTGTTAAGGATATTATATACATTAAAATCAGTTTACTCATTAGAGATAACTCACTTAAATACCCAACATCTCTAAGCCTCAGGATTCTGGCCAATAATACCCTTCCCAGGAGATTTGTGAAGATTAAATAAAATGTATGTAAAACACTTCACACATAGTAAACCCTCAGTGATGGTTTTTGTTACTATTAATCTGTTCTTCCATTATATCTGTGATATTCTTTTCCCTAGATAGTGAAGCTTAAAAGAGTTCATTTTTAAAGTTAAAAATAGACCTACTCTATGACCCAACAACTGTACTACTAGGTATTTACCCAAAACGGATACAAAAATACTGATTGGAAGGAGCACATGCACCTTGATATTCATAGCAGCATTATCAACAGTAGCCACATTATGGAAAGAGCCAAAAGGTCAATTGACTGATGAATGGATAAAGAAGATGTGTCTATCTATAGAATGGCTGCCTTCTTGCTGTGTCCTTCCTCATGTGAGTGTATGGGGTGGGCGGAGATAGGTCTCTGTTGTCATGTCATTGAAAAAACAATTTTTTAACGTTTTATGTTTTGAGAGACAGCGTGAGTAGGGGAGGGGCAGAGAGACAGGGAGACATAGACTCTGAAGCAGGCTCCAGGCTCTGAGCTGTCAGCACAGAGCCCCATGCAGGGCTTGAACCCACGAAAGCAAGATCATGACCTGGGCTGAAGTCTAACGTTCAGCCAACTGAGCCACCCAGGTACCCCTGTCACTTCATTTTATAAAGACATCAGTCCTATCAGATTAGGGCTCTGTCATTATTCCTTTTAACCTCAGTTACCTCCTTAGAAGCCTATCTCTA